TCACTCTGTGGCCTCCTGCTCCTTTGGAAGAGGATACAAAGCCAGACAAACTCTTCCTGTGGATGTCCACCTTTGCACCCTGTTGGGTGCAAGAAGCACCTGGGCCTCCCTGGGAGGGCAGCCCATGAGAACAAGCAGCCTCCTCTGCTGCCTGCGGTCCAGGCGTGCAGCTGAGCACGTGAAGGAGCGAGCGCAGGGGAAGGGATGCTCGTGTAGCTCCCAGCAGTGCCCTTTCGAGGCAGTCTTCTGTGGTTGTATAAGACTCAGAACGTGCCAAATCACTTGTGCAAGAAAAACCAGTGTAGGTGGTCTGAGCTTTGCAACAGGCTGCTGGGGAGTAGCTCCTCTAGTTTCAATTCCACAGCTCTTCTTTTGCGGGGGAAAAGAAAGAAAGGCATTTTACATTATGGCAGTTTTACAGCATTAGCATTTGGGGCTCCTGTCAACATATTTGCAGAGTTTGGTCACCAACCCCGCTCCCTCCCAGGGCCACAAATGCTCTCCTTTCCCCAGATGTATTTTCAGTCCTCCTGGCCTTCCAGCTTGCAACCTGCCTCCTCCTCTTCTTTGCCGACATTGATGCTGAGTACAGTGGCATGCAGGTAAGTGCAAATGGAATGTGCATTTCCTTTTCATGCCACATATTTTGCTGACCCTTTACCTAAGTGTACAGAGCAGAAGCTACAGCTACAGTCATCTTGGAAATGAATTTGCTGATCTGATGCTGACTGGGCAACCCTTTCAAACTTCTGTAACATCCTTATGACAAGGGCTTGATTAATGAGGTAGTCCTCCTCTCCTCTAAAGACTGGGTGGCAACAAGGAGAAGAAAAAGTGCTTATAGCGTGCTGAGCTTTTCTTCTTAACAGAAAAGCACAATAGGTTGGATTGTGGTTTTGCATGTTGGAGGAGGCTTGTTGGCCGGAGAAGCGAGTGGGCAGGGATTGCTGCCGCTCCCCCCCCCCCACCCCCCGGAGCACCATGAACTCACGTGGGGCCACAGCTGCCTCGGCCCCCCCGGGCACTCAGCCAGGGCACAGTGCAGGCAGCTGCTTCCAGCTGTGCTGCCCAACATCAGCAATGGCCGAGCCCTGCAGCTCGTCCCCGGCCGTCCTGCACGGGATGGATTTGGGTGGAGGCCTGGCATTAGGATGGACATACACAGGAGAGGAGCTGCACATTGTGTGAGCTGCAGCTCCCCAGAAGTCTGCAGGTCTCAGCAGTAGCTTAAGTAGCCAAGATGAGTTAGGTGGCTCTGTGCCATGGGGAATCTGGCACGAAACCTCCCAAGATCTCTGTGACAAGGAATTACTGTCACTTCCTACTGCCTCCTCTATGCCTGCCACTGAGAAAATGTTAGTCATCCTCTCAAATCATTAGGAACAGATGCAAATCTTGGCAAGGCATTTAAACCTAATTGCTGTTCCCTGTGATCTGGAGAGTTTACATCTTACTGATGCTCTTGGTCACCTTTTGTGTATCTTTTTTTATGGAGGTGAGTGCATTTGTTTGCTGCCTGTTCCTGGAGGTGAACAGGAGCAGCGTCTGGTCAGGTCTTTCCACCCCCATTTGCAGCAACACTCTCTTCCTGCAGAAGCATAAACCCTCAGGCTTTTTTTTTTTTTTTCCCTTAAGACTCAATGTGTATCAGTCAAATCCATTTTATGCAGCCCCAGACAGGATTTAGACCACATCTCTTAAGCCTTTATGAAAGGGAGCGAGCTGAAGTGCAGCTGTCTGGGAGGAGCCTGCTGCCCTGGCTTGCAGGGGAGCAGACTGCAGCACGGGTCAGGTGCTTGGCAGTGATTTTGAAACAACCATTTCCCTCTTGTCCTACAATCGACCAGGCCAGAGGCTGGCTTGCAGCTGGATATTGCAGTAATGACTAAGCCCTAAAGTGTTTTGTGGGTCAAGGCTAGCTGTATCCAGCACTGGGTATTGGCCCCTGCAAGGAGCAGCAGCGCCTGGTTGTCCCACAGCCCCAGGAGGAAAATCTTGCCCCTTGATTATCCCCTTCAGCTAAACAGACTGAGATCAGCGTTGTCCTGATGTAACTGAGTAGAGCCTTCCTGTGGGTGAGGAGGGTGGCATTTGGCAGCCGTGTTACTGAAGGGGAGTGCACGCAGCCATCCAGCACTGCGGGGCTCAGGGGGATTGCATGTGTAGCAAGGGATGGCTTTTGTCCCTGAGCGCTCCTCCCTTCTAGTGAAGGGCAACAGCACTGACCCTGCGCCACGCCACTCCACAGGATGTTATCTTGCAGAACAAGCACCTCTGGCTGCTGATTAACCTGGTTTGGGTACCAGTCAAACAGCCAGTACCAAAAATGGCAGAGGATGCTCCAGAGGGATCCCAGCTGGCCTCCCGTAAATGCAAAAGACTTTGCAGCAAAAAGCACGGATGAGATTTATATTAACCCCAGCCATGAATACAGTGTTGAGGACTAGGCGAGGCCCTGCAGCTGGGCGTGGGGCTGCGCAGTGCTGGCAGCTTCCCCGGCTTGCACTGAACAGCCTGTGTTTTCATCCTTTGATGCACACCAGATTCAGCTGTTTGAAGTCCCTGCACAAACCCATCCATTCAGCGGCAGGCGGGCCCGTGCTGGCTGTGCCCCCACACACAAGCAAGGATTATTCTTTTGGCTGCTGGTAAAATAACAGCCTTGACTCTACTCCATGGCAACAGTGGGTCTCAGGCATTAACATCTCCTAGAAAGGCTCAGAAATACTGAATACAGCGAAGCAATGGCTTCTGCTGCTCCAAGTCACACTTTCACTCTGTGTTTCAGCCACTGCTCCACCAAATCCTGTCACTGAACCCATCGGGCTTCCACTGGGCTTGATGGAAAGGCAGTCCAAAATAAGTGACCTAATCTTGACCGCACAGAGGAACATGCATACAATTGCAAAAGTCCGAGTTAAAGGAAATGCTGCACCTTCCAAGAACTACGAGAAAGTTCCCCAGATGAAGTAATTCCAGTTTTCTTGCATCCCAGAGTGAATTACAGATGTGAGAGGGTGTATACGCTGCCCTCACCCAGTGTCCTTTGCCAGTTCTTGCAGACATAATGCTCTGAGTACAGGAAAGGTTAAAGCTCACAGATTGCTGCAAGACCAGGCTGGGAAGGACGGCGAGAATCTGCCCCACTCAAGCTTGCAAAGGCAGAGGACAGCACAGCCGCTGCACATGGCCCCCCCACTTCGAGCTCTGCTGCTGCCAGGTCCTGGCTCAGGTTTGGTGTCACACAGCAGAAAGCAGAGCTAAGCCTTGGCTTCCTGCTTTAACTAGGTCACGCCAAGAAGCAGGGGTTTTAACATGCTCTGGCACACGGCTGCTGGACAGGCACAAGAAGCTGAACCCCTCTCTACTTGCTCTTTCAAGTAGTTCAACCTCCCAATTAGTTTAGCCATGAAAGAACTTTTGGATACATTTGCAGGAGGCAAAAAAGGACTTTGAGGTTCAGTTTTATTATAGTATGTTTTCCCATATTAAAAAAGAGGAACTTTATTTAAATGTAGTAACAGAGGGCACTACAAAATACAACCAGAAGTCTTGGCTTTGTTATTTCAAACATTGAAACAACTGATGTTTAAAAAAAACTTCTGATCCTGTTATGTACATGTCAAGAGCAGTCAAAAATAGAAAGCCTCTTACAGAGAGCTCTTTTGCTCTCATCTCTTCTTACAGTCCAGGCAGCTGCATGTGGTGAAAGCAACACCAGATTTAATTTCTTACACGCAGTCTGCAAATAACATGGTTCCAAACACACAAACCGGATACTCCTGGTAAAGAGTAATAAATCACACTTTTCCAGAACAGTTTTCTTCTAAGACAAACGACACATCAGCTCTGTGACAAGGAAATAGCGGGGCTCTGTAGATTTGGGGATGGGGCATAGGTGCTGCACAGCTCATTCTCCAGGTACACTGCTCGCAGCACTGCAGGGACCCTGGCTTTGCCTTCCTGCTCGCTGGAGGAAGATCGATCTTGTGCTGGGGCTACAAACTGCTTAAACTCTACTTCTGGTCACTGAGGAGCTGATGGCCCCAGCTCTGGGGGGCAAAGGCTCCCAGCTGCCCTTGCAATCCATGGTGGTCTTTCTTTAAACCTCAATGCTTTGGCAGCCCAAGGAGTAGAATCATAGAATGGTTTGGGTTGGAAGGGACCTTAAAGATCATCTAGTAAGCTTGGTCAGGTCCAATGCCAACAATTACTGCACTTACAGGGATGAAGAGGGAAATTTCAGTAGTACAGCGGTCCCAACCTAGAACAAACAGCTGTCAGAGAAAAAGCTAGCTGGGTTTTTTTGTCAGACCCCCCACCCCCCCAAACTGGGTCTGCTGCTCCGAAAGGGAGTCAGAGAAGCCAAGGAAAGGGATGCTTTCCAGGCAGGAGAAAACTGAGCAAAACACCATCATGCCAAAAACAGAGCAGTCATTTAAAACACTGAGGGATACAGCCTGTAAGACCTGCCTGCCCTTCGTACCTCCCACCCTCAGAGCATCTCACCGCAGGCACAGGTGCCACGACACGGTACATGCCTTGTCTGCCCTTTCACAGGCCTGGGAATCTGGGGTTTTCCACTTGCACAGGCCCTCAGCTGGAGGACACACAATAAACCCTCAGCAATACTTTTGCATTACTTTGAATTAAAAAAACCCACAAACCAAAACACGTTAACATTAAAATAGGTTATTCACAGAAAGGGCCCGCAGGATGTAGCTGATAAACCCAGCATGTGTGTAGAAAGCCCATACCAGCCCGCAGCAGAGCACCAGGAGTGCAAGGATGGAGAATTTGCTTGCAAGTGCTCCCAGACCACCACAAAAATCATCACAGGCAATGAAATAAAAGCAGATATGGCAAACAGGCTAGTGCTGCTCTCAGCAAGGGCGAGAGAGTTGTTAGTAAGTCTCAGTGGCAGCTCTGGCCACAAACCATCCCAGGTCCCTCCTGGCCAGGGGCTCCCAGCCCTGCTCCAGGCTCATCCCAGTGGCCCGTCAGTACTGTCGCTCTCTGGATCTGCTCCGGAGCAAGCCCAGCAAGGAGAAGGCACCGGCGGCAGCTGTTACAAACCCAATAGCACCGATTGCTCTGTTGGCCTGCAAAGGGGAAGTAAAACACAGGCTGGAAACGTAATGAAGTGGGGTTTTTTTTGTTGTGGTGGTTTTTTTTTTTTTTTACCCCCAGGCATGCTAATGAAGAGCAGGTGGAGATAATCAAGGCAATTAAATGAGCGAGAGACACCTGCCCCATAAGCAGAAGGGGTAACAGGCAGGCTTTTATCCTTGAGCTGTGCCATGCAGTAAGAGGGCACTATCAGGGTGCAGAGGGACCACAGTGAGCCTCCTGGGTCAGGGTCTCCGGTGAGGCCAGAGGCAGCGATGGTTTAGACCCCATGCCTGGGGCTTTGCTGTCCCCATGAAGTTTGCAGGCTGTGCCCTGGGCCAGGGCTGACAGAGAGCAGCAAGGAGGTGCGCTGCGAGGCATGCAGGGGCTTACCCCATGTTACTTACCTGGTCAGAGACACCCTCGCCGTAGCGGAGCAGCGTCACGAAGTGCTCGCAGTTGTTACCGAGCAGGTCGTAGGACACCTCCTGATCGATGAGGTACTCGGCACGCCGGATGATCTCCTCCACCGGGAGGGGAGTGTAGGTGCCGTCATACTTGTTGTTGATGTGGTAGGTGTCGTTTCCCACCACATCCTTCAGGAGCTGCATCCTCACCCGGGCCTTTCTGCTGAACACTGACTTGGCGCTGGCGAATGTGGCTGGGGGCCCTTCATCTGGGGAAGGCAGGGATGGGGTGAGCCAGGCAGCCCCCATCTGGCCCCTCGAGACCTTCTGGCTAGCTCCTGGAAATGCCATCCACGCACAGGGTCCACCACTGGCCCATGGAGAGAGACAGGGCTCCTGGGTCACCCCAAAATCCCCTCTGGACCCTGCTGGGTTGCACCAGCCTTACCTACAGGCGTCACGTTGATGATGTACCCGTCCCCCAAGTAGAGGGCCCAGTGCTGGTAAGCTGGCCGGAAGATCTCGATCAGGTCCCCAGGCTGGGGGTCACCGGGGCGCGTGGCGCTGAAGCTCTCGACGGCTGCCATCTCACGCGCGTGAGGTCAGGACATGCCCCGCTCGCT